CACAGTATTCAGCTCTGGCCTTTGTGTTACTGATGTCAGATGAGGAGCTGGATGTGTTTGATCTGAAGAAATTCATCAGATCAGATAAGGAGCATTGGAGGCTGCTGCCTGTGGTCAAGACATCTAGGACAGCTCTGTAAGTGAAGATGTGAAAATGTATCTTGTCTGGCAGTAACAGATTAACATTGTTTAAAATATATAAAATATGCAATTTATTTCTCCTTGTGGATTAATACCTGGGCTGGATTTTTTATTTTTTTTTGACAATCTGGGACCCAGATTTTATGATGACTGAGGGTAGTGATGTAGTAAAAGACAAAGTGACATTTCCATGACCACCCAGTGTGCATCCTGACCTGCTATAGAAACAAAGGGGGTCTTTATCTGGGGGGTTTATGAGTGAAATGATCCTTTATTTGGAAGTACAGGTACATTGGAGTGCTTCTCTTCTCACTCTCCATGAGAGACACGGACACATTTACAGGTGCCACCAAGCTTAGGGTCACAGCACAGGGTCAGCTGACATCCAGCAGCCCTGGAGCTGGGGGTTAAGGGCCTCGATCAAGGGCCCACAGACATGTGACTGTTCTGCTGAGTGTCTGACCAGCGATCCTCCAACCACAGGCACAGAGGCTTAGCCTGCTGAGCCACACACCAGCCCCACAGACATGGTATGTGAGTGTTACTGTCAGCAGGTGTGTCCAGGTGATGGAGCCCAGAGCTGGGAGCTTCCAGAAGACTGCTGTCTCTGACTGCTCACTGGCGCCCTCTGCTGGCCTCAGCTGCTCCTGGCTGAGGATGTGACGACACATCTAGTCAGGCCATAACTGATTAATTTTTTTTAAATATATAATCTGTATAAATATACCATTTACTTCTGGAAGAAGTATTTCTGTAAATACTGGGTGTGGTATGTGACTGCGGGTTCGGACTCTGTGCCCGTGAGTGGAGGTCGCTGGTTCAGATCTCCTGGCCGGCAGTGATGTCATCGCTGGGCCCTTGACCAAGGCCCTTAATGCCAGTGGCTGCAGGGGCGCTGGATGCTGGCCGACCCTGTGCTGTGACCCCAAACTTCCTCTCATCCGTTTATGTGTCTGTGTGTCTCACGGAGAGCCAGATGGGATTAGCAAAAAGACAGATCCCCCACAGGGATGGATGAAGTATCACTATTTATAATTTTTTAAAAACAAATACGTCTTTTAAAGCCATATCTGTAAGAACTGGTAGTTCTGGGATTAGTGTGTAGGTGATTTCACAAGTTCCCCGATATAACAATAGAGAAAAAAGGATTTCATTCATGGGATCAGGAATTCAAGTGTCATTAAAAAAAATCATGCTCCACTGAACATCGTTCAAATCCCACATAAACACACACACATACACACACATACAGAATATATCCCAGGCAGGAATCGAACCCGAAACCCTAGATCAGGGGTGCCCAAATCCAGTCCTGGGGGGGTGGAGCCCTGTGTAGCTTAGTTCTTTCCCTGTTCCACCATAAAGGATTCAGGTCAAGAGCTGTATGGTAATTAGCACAAGGAGTTCAATCAAGTGTGTTAAATGAGGGGAAACCCAAAAATGTGCAGGGCTCTGGCCCTCCAGGACTGGAGTTGGGCACCCCTGCCCTAGATGGTCGGCTGTAGTGCTGATCACTGAGCCACAGCGCTGCCCAGAGCTTTATGAAAATACTTATGCAGATATTAATGACCCTCAGGGTAACTGGCCCTTTAAGATGATTAAAAAGCAGTTTGGAGTTGCCTACAGTGTTTCAGGAATAATGATCTGTCTTCTACATTGAAACAACAAAATTGCTGTTATTTTTGATATTTGATATTCACTTAATTCACTAATTTAACTGGTT